ACGCCAGCCACAAATGGTGGTCGATGGTACTTCCTCCTGCTCGTGGATGATTGTAGTCGCTATATGTGGCTACAACTTATGACGAGCAAGGATGAGGCAGCGGAGGCAATCAAGAAGTTCAAGGCACGCGTGGAGGCAAAGAGCGGCAAGAAGCTGCAAGTGCTGCAAACTGATCGCAGCGGCGAATTCACTTCGGTGGAGTTCGCTGCGTGCTGCGCAGATCAGGGTGTGGTACGACACCACATCGTGTCGTACTCGCCACAGCAGAATGGCGTGGTGGAGCGGCGGAACCAGACGGTGGTCGGCATGGCTCGATCCATGATGAAGGCCAAGAGCATGCCGGCAAGGTTCTAGGGTGAGGCGGTGACCACGGCGATGTTCATCCTCAACCGCGCATCCACAAAGGCCCTAAAGGGCATGACGCCGTTCGAAGCTTGGTATGGGCGCAAGCCGAGCGTGTCCTTCCTCCAGACATTCGGCTGCATCGGCCACGTCAGGAAGACGAAGCCAGTCCTCACCAAGCTAGAGGACAAGAGCACACCGATGGTGCTCCTAGGCTACGAGGAAGGTACCAAGGCATACCGGCTCTACGATCCACACGGAGGCAAGGTGGTTGTCTCGCACGACATTGTGTTCGACGAGAAGGCACCCTGAGACTGGGACAATCCGGGCATGGGGGAAGCTGGTGGCTTCACCAGCACTTTCGTCGTTGAGCACTTGGTCATCCACGGTGGTGGAGACGTTGGAGAGGAGGTGTCGACCACTCCAGCAACAGAGCCGAGCACTCCTAGGGCGGTGCTGAGTACTCCGGGAGGGGTGCCGAGCACACCAGGAGTGGTGCCGAGCGGTCCTGCAATGGTGCCGATCGCTCTAGGACGGGTGCTGAATGCTCCCGTAGCAGAGCTGAGAGGTATTGGAGTGGTGTCGACCACTCCAAGACTGGTACCGAGCACTCCGGGAGGGGTGCCGAGCACTACAAGAGTGGTGCCGAGCACTACAGCCGGGGTGCCGAGCACTCCAGGTGCTGTGCCAGCCACTCCGGCGGAACAGGGGACTTCATCGATGCATATCGAGTTCGCCTCACCTCCAAGCGACATCACAGAGTTTGTGGATGCTTTCCTCGATGGTGAGGAGGTGCGGTTCCACAAGCTGGACGACATCGTCAGAGGCACAGGGTCCTCAGGCCTAGCGGGTCAGCTGCTCAATGACCCAGAGCTATTTCTTGTCAGTGTAGAGGAACCACCCACGTTCGCGCTGGCCAAGTGCGATGCAAATTGGCGATGGCGATGCTGGAGGAGATGAAGGCGATCGAGAAAAACAAGACTTGGGAGCTCATCGATCCACCTCCAGGATGCCGTCTGATCGGCCTGAAGTGGGTGTACAAGGTCAAGCGGGACGAGCGCGACGCCATTGTCAAGCACAAGGCGCGCCTCGTCGCCCGAGGCTTTGTCCAGCACGAGGGCATCGACTTCGAGGAAGTCTTTGCGCTGGTAGCGCGCATGGAGTCTATCAGACTGCTGCTGGCTTTGGCAGCAGCGAAGGACTGGCGCGTTCATCACCTGGATGTAAAATTGGTCTTCCTCAACGGTGAGCTGGCGGAGATGGTCTTTGTCAGGCAACCTCCGGGTTTCGCTGTCAAGAGAGCGGAGCACAGGGTGCTCCGACTGCGCAAGGCGCTCTACGGGCTGCGGCATGCCCCGCGAGCGTGGAACACCAAGCTTGACGCCACGCTGGGCGAGCTTGGGTTCACGCGGTGCACAACCGAGCATGCGCTCTACATGCGGCGACGGGGGAAGGAGGAGCTCGTCATCGGCGTGTATGTGGACGACTTGATCGTCACCGGTGCACGTGCGGAGGACATCAACAGCTTCAAGCACGAGATGGTGGCTTATTTTCGAATGAGCGATCTCGGCGCACTCTCCTACTACCTCGGCATCGAGGTGAGACAGGGGCAGGAGGAGCTCACGCTCGGTCAAAGCGTGTACGCCTCGAAACTGTTGGAGCGGAGCGGCATGGCCGAGTGCAAGCTGTGCATGACTCCGATGGAGGAGTGGCTGAAGTTGACGAAGGCCAGTACCGTGGCGAGGGTAGATGCAACACTCTACCGGAGCATCGTGGGTGGTCTGCGCTACCTAGTCCACATGAGGCCGAACATTGCGTTTGCCGTGGGCTACGTTAGCCGCTTCATGGAGGATCACTGGGCCGTGGTGAAGCGGCTGTTGCGCTACGTCAAGGGGACGGTGGATCAGGGGATCGTCTTCCCCAAGATCGGCGGAAATGGGCTGCAACTCACTGTGTTCAGCGATGCAGACATGGCGGGGGACATCGACAGACGGCAGAGCACCTCTGGCGTGTTCGTCTTCCTCGGGTCGGCTCTAATCTCATGGCTGTCGTTGAAACAGAAGGTGGTGGCGTTGTCCACATGTGAGGCAGAGTACGCGGCGGCGGCCACAGCGGCGTGCCAAGCTGTGTGGCTGCGCCGACTGCTGGGCGAGCTGATCGGTGTGGAAACTCACCCACCAGCACTAATGGTTGACAAACCCGTCCGCCATCGCCCTCGCGAAGAATCTGGTTCTCCACGACCGGAGCAAGCACATCGACATCAAGTTCCACTTTCTCAGGGACTGTGTCGATGGAGGGCAGATCGTCATCGAGTTAGTCGAAACTGGTCGGCAACTCGCGGACATGCTCACCAAGCCGCTCGGCCGTCTTCGGTTCACAGAGCTGAAGAAGATGATCGGTATGGTAGAGGTTCTAGGGTTAGCGGCAGGATTAGGGGAAGAATTATAAAGTAATCTGCTGCTCTCCCATCTCTCAACGGGCGGCAGGGGTAGGCGCCGAAAGGCTCCCCTGCCACACTATAGCCACAGCAGGGGCAGACGCCAAAGTCAGTCCTACTGTCACATGTAGTCATTGTAGCAGCATGGTAGTCTGGCATGTCTGTGTATTAGGATTAGATGAGTAGAGTTGTATATGTAGCTTCCCACTGCAACTGAGTAAAGAGAGCGAGTTCAGTTTTGTCATCTCATCTCTGCAGAGCTCTGGTCCAACGCTGGTGCTTGTGCTGTATGTGTGTGCTCTGTTCTCCCTTCCTTCTTCTACCCATGGCCGTAGTGTGTGTGGTTGGCAACGACAGGAGCGGTCGGCTCACCCGTGCCAGACATCTCGGGACCAACAAGGTTGCGCCAGACGCAACTCAGCAAAGGCCATGTTCGTTTCTCTTATAATCCGTCTTTTTCAGCTTATTTTTTTATCCGGAACATTGTTTTTCTCTCACAACAAATCAACCGGAATAGTGTTTCAGTTTGTTTTTTTAGCGAAGAGAACGGGGCCAAAATGGCTAAAGCAAGGTATATTTAAATAAATTATGGGCTTCAGTTTGGTCAGAGAAGCGCAGAGGGCAACAGCAGGTCGTTCAGAGTTAGCCATTAGTTGGTCATTAAGAGATTGATTTAGCTTCAGTTTAGATAGATAATAAATTAACAAAAGATAGATAAACTAAAAAAAGAGGCTGTGAACAGCTAAGTTACAATAGATGGAATCTACCTTGCCCTTCCTCGTGCTGTTCATATATATATAACTGCCTGTGTGCCATTGCCGGCGCCCAAGCTGTGGCCTATACACGACTACAGTCTACGCTATCGTCCATCCACTAATCATTCTCCACCATCTCAGTGACACTAGAAACTAACCAGCCAAAACCATCGTGAAGCATGCCACTGCAAACACTAAACATCACCTGAGAATTAAGTTCATAAAGGGTTTGAAGATTGTCACAGTACTATTAGTGGATGCAGTTACCCGAGTAACTATTCAAAGGTTAATGAAATATTATCCCCGTACTTTCTTCAGAGAATTTTATAGATTTTTTTTAAAATAAAAGGCAGGAGCTCTGCTGTTCAATTAAGTAGTGAAAAGAGGTTTATGTATACATGACACCTAAGGTGCCAAAACACCGTGGTCCGAAGACCATAGAGGAGAAAAACACGCCTTGCACTGCTAGTTTGGCCCCCCCCACCAAAATTCATTGCCCCATGCCATTGCACTATGTCTTCTTTGATCAGTGAGGCGACCTGCTGTGCTATCCTATGCATATTTTCGAAGATTCTTTTATTTCTCTCCTTCCACAAATTCCACATAATGTAAATCACCATACCATTGAAACGCTTGCGGTCTTGCTTTTGTATCTTGCTTGCCACTTGCTCCCATCAATCGGCAACTGAGGCCGGTTCTTGATGTGGCCATTGCACCACAGAGAATTTTACAGATCACTAGTAACTTATCTTGCACTTTTTCATACTGACATAAAGAATAAGATCATATATTTCATAAGAAAAAAAAACATTGCATAGATTTAAGCCACCTATAGGCAGCTGATTTGTTCGATTTCATTAGTGATGCAGCATTGGAGTAACTCCTTTCAGCTCGATATGGTGGAGGATAAGAGAAAAAAAATCTGAAAGGGCTCAAATCTGCAGAAAGCTATACTAAGCAAGTAGAAAATTAAATATACTTTTGCATAGAAACAATAAATGTTTTAAATGATTAGATAAAAGGAAATTTACAAAAAAAAAATGGATGTGCAAAGAAGACAAGAACTAAAATGCCAGAAAATTGAAAATACAGTTTCTCCAGGTTCAATCAACCTGTCACAAAAGATCCAAACGTTAGCATGCTGCGACTGTCATGGCACTGTGTGTTAGTACTTAGTGCCAGTCCAGAATAAGGCACCATATATTTCTTTTCCGTACATATTACATCTTAACTGTTCTAACATAAATTTTTCAAAAAAGACTGTTCTAGCATAAGGGAAAGCAATGAGCATCCTGTAGCTCCATCAAAGTTTTAGCTTAAAATAATTTAGTGGCCTCACAGCTGTAAGTTCTGAATCATGAAGGGCCAATCAAATGCAAAATCTATTATGGAAGATATTTATTTACTTGAGAGATTTACAGGTGACACTGCAGAAGGAAAAGACCCTAACAATGTGTTCGATCTATCTAATTTGAGACCGGCTGATGTACCCTAACATCAAGTATCACGTACAGAAACCAGATAAGAACTATGTGTAGGATAGCTGAACGCATGCATATTGTCAACAACTTTTCACTAGTCATCTTTGTGCGTCTCCATTTGCGACCTGTAAAATGAAAGCACATTTATGTTTCCTGCAAAAGATAAGTAATGGGATATAGAAAATAAAGTTTTATAATTATCACAAACTCTAACATTCGATCTAGAAACTTACAAACTAAAACCAGGGTCAAAAGTAGGACTAAGTTGTACAACCATATCAATCCAGCCCTAACACAGCCGATACCCTTTGTTAGTGCAAAATTCAAATCGCCATGGACAACTTTTTGCGTTGCCACCTGAAAAAGAATAAATGATTCAATCGTTCTTGAGCATATAAATGTAAGCAGTAAATTTCACTGTTTTCTACTTTTTTTTTTTGAGACCACGCCTTTCGACGCGTATTTCAACTGTTTTCTACTTCTCTTGACAGAATGAATCCACCAATGAATATCTGTAACTGTTAGAACAGTGTTGCTAGCTACAGTCAACAGACACAATGGCCCAGTGCTAAATCATGGTGACTGAAACAAGACATGGAAAAAACCAAGGATTGTGGCAAAGAAGGAAAGAGAAGGAAATGACAATTCACCATCTGTGGAACAAAAGTCATGGTGACTGAAACAAGACATGTAAAAAACCAAGGATTGTGGCAAAGAAGCAAAGAGAAGGAATAGACCACTCACCATTTGGGAAACAACAAAGGCAAATGTGACAAAAGGCCCAGGGCATCTTATGATGCAGCAACCATCAGAATGAACAAAGAGTGCAATAGCCTGGTTTACTGTGCTCATCTGAAGGAACAAAGCAGCTCTGATTTCCTCATCACTGCCCATCAGTGATATATGTTTGAATTTACACTGTCCAAGTACTAAACAATCAGCTGCTCATCACCTCAAAAGCAAGAGGTTATCTTTCATCAGAAGGAAAAACACTCACTGCAAAAGGGTTTGCAGTTCTTGCAACCCTATAAAAAATGGCTGTAGTAAGAACTATGTAGCTTCCAAAAGCAGCACCGCTTGTAATGATTTTCTGTACTCTCCATTTATCTGGTGACTTGTTCAATTCCACCCTTTCGAATAACATTGCGAAGGATGTACCTGGAAATAAAAATAGAGACAAGGAAAAAAAATAAAAAAGACAACATATATCGCAAATAAAGGTTGTGGACTTTTGGAACTGATGCTCACAGTAATTACAAGCGGTAATCATGAAAGCCAGGATACTTGACAAGTCAAAGTTCCATAAATGTAAAATGACACGGATACCAAACTTCATTACAATTAAGATTGGAGTTAGACCTGCAGGACCCTGTACTTTAGAAGGATTATAAAAAATAATCACAAATTGAACTCACAAGATGGACAGTTGATGAAATGGTGAATATCTGCAGAAACAGCAACATACTGCAAGTTAATATTAATTTATCATGATCGAGATACAAAACATCTTGTCAGAAATCAAGCCTCTAAATACATCAGAATGACCTACAGTGTAGCTTCTCATCATCTGACAAATCTTCCTACTGATTTGTACAGCCGAAGAAACAGGTATCAGAGCAGTCCGAGTCAAAACAAGATCAGATTCACTTTTTGTGTAATCAGTTGCATCAGCAACTGAAATTCCAATATGGCTTTCTCCTATGGCATCATGATCAAGGAATTCATACCCAACCATTGCACAATGACAACCGAAATTTCTTATTCTTCTTACTATATCGCTTTTGTCCTCTGTCCTAACATATCAAGATAGCAAAATGGTAAACAAGAACTTCTTGCAGAAAAAAAAACTTTGTCAGGAGGACATAGAAGATAAGGATAGACCTGGAAAGAGATCAGAAATCCCGTTGATGTTTGAATGGACTTCTCTGTTATTGCGAGCTAACTCAAACACTGAATGTGCAGGTACCACATTGGTGCCTAGTTTTCCAAGCTTTCCACAAACCTGCTTTGTGGTCGACAATGGGCTCTCTGTAGAGAGGACAAAACAATATATATATGATGAAGACATGTTTATCAGAGAAAATTACAATAGCAGAAATCTCGACAGCAGGATATGCACAACAGAATCACCTGTGAGGACTCTTATATCTAAACCCAGATCGATAAGGCTATCAATAGCATCAGCACTATCACTTCTAAGGTCATCTGTGTAAGGCAGAAGGGCAATAAACTCCCAACATGAGTCTACCTGGAGGAAAGCAAAACAAACTAAATAAATATAGATCGAGTTAAAGCATGCTAATGTGAAATCGAATTGCCTACTTGATGTCCTACAGCTATGGCCTGATATCCATCAAGAGCAAGTTCATCCATTATCATGCTTATTTTCTCTTTAACTTCTTTGCTGCAGCCACATTGATGAGCAACCTATAGCATGAATGCATGTTTGTATGTGCAGTGAGATGTTGGAGGAACTTGCATGCATGTCTGTCCCTGTAAGTGCGACGGTATGTGTGAAATTGCAACAGCAACTTGCCTTTGCAGGATCACCTTTGAATCTACCCATTGCTTTCATCGATGTATGTAGTCTGGAACATCAGCTTCAGTGCAACAAAGAAACAGGCATGGTGCTAAAGACTTCAACACCAAATATAGATCGAGTTAAAGAACGTGCATGCTTCAATGTGAAACAAACAACGGCAACGAATTGCCTAACTTGATGTCCTAAAAACCAGCTATGGCCTGATATCCATCAAGAGCAAATTCATCCATTATCATGCTTATTTTTAACGAATCTTTCCTGCTGCTTGACACCCTACGCTTTCTTTGCTGCCCGTGCCACATTGATGAGCAACCTATAGCATGAAATCAGATAATGACTAAGAGATACGCTCTACAAACAAAATACATGCAACTGCATGAATGCATGTTTGTATGTGCAGTGAGATGTTGGAGGAACTTGCATGCATGTCTGTCCCTGTAAGTGCGACGGTATGTGTGAAATTGCAACAGCAACTTGCCTTGCCATTTACCCATGGCGCCAATCAAGGACACCCATCTTAAGTTGACACAAAAGAATTTCTTTTACCGGCATCCATGGATCCATGAGTCATGCCAAAATGCAGCGTTGAGGTCCCGTCCCCGATCGCCAGGAGGGCACTTTCGTGGTCTGCGGTTGTTGTCGGCGACGATCCAAGATCTGTGCTTGGTCGACCTTCATGCCACTCCAAAGCGAGTCTAAGTGCGGACCAAACTGCCGCACCTTTGAATACAATGCGGCACTTGGACCCATTGCTTTCATCGATGTATGTAGTCTGGAACATCAGCTTCAGTGCAACAAAGAAACAAGCATGGTGCTCTAAGACTTCAACACCAAATCGTGGTTTTGCAAATCGTTATGCATCTTTATTTAAAAGAAGCACAGAGGCGAATTAAAACTCTGCTTAGTTAGAGAAAGCAACCTGCTCTGGATCATCAAGGAGGCGTTCCTCCAGGCTGATAGCTGCATCAATTGGTTCGATGTACAACTCATGTTGAGATCTCTGCTTAGCCCGCTGCAGCTAAAATTATGGTACACGGAGATTTTTATTAACACCATCTGCAAACATCTCAATCTTGTCCCGGACAAAACAGGGCTGATTACAAGTTAAAGTACCAGTCATGTTGAAGAGGATTACATCCACACTTGCTAGATCTTCAAGTGCAACTGTCCCTCGGCTAGCAATCCCCAGAAAACAAAGCCTCACAGATCCCAATGCCAATGCCAAGTAGAGAAAAGCAGGCATTGGCATCGGAATTCCACCAATCAATGGCATAAAATGGGCGTTGAGTGGTATGCCACTGCAGTTTTGTTTCTGGAACAAAGAGCTTAATACTATCTCAGCAATAGTGCCAACAAGTACCAGGGAAGCACAGAAGCAGCCAGCAAGCATGACTCCTTCTTTAAGCTGCCCAGGTCGAGCATAACGTTGTGGGTAGAGCCGCAGTGTGCTTCTGGGAATGCCACGGCCAGTTGCAATGACAACAGCAGTTCCTTGGCCACAGGAAACAGTCCAAGCATAGTATATGAGGAAGCCATGCGCACAATCAACATACCTTTTGGCCCAGCAAGTCATTGTGTCGATTTTCTGAAACCGAAGTACGCGAGCATTGGCTGGGACGATGTCCCCAACCTTGAGAAATATGATATCCCCTGGGACCAGATTTGCTGCATGTACATCTCTCCACCTCCCATCTCTCAGAACCTTGGCCCTTGGTGCGTGGGCCTTGGTCTCCAGTGGAGCCTTAGCATGCTCTAACACAAGCTTTGCAATAAAGCATGCTATGAGGCTTGTAGCTACTATGAAAATTACGATGGCCAACTCGCATGATCTTTGGCCAGCTGAGGTGATGGCAAGAGACACCATTGTAGTCAGTACTGTAACCCACGACATGGAGTTAAGTATGATCCGGACCATGTTATTGTACTTGGGGAAGACATGATCCCATCCCCAGAGCGAGAAGAGCGCCGTCAGGAATCTTTGAAGCATGCTGCCCTCCTGCAGCGGCAGTTTCAGTTTATTAGATGTTAAAAAACCCAAATAATCATAACGGGAACTTGTTTTGTCCCGAACTGTGTAGCAGTTATTATACCATAATACTACAATGAAAGACGAGATGGTCAGATAATGAGACTAGCAATATGTGTAGTTGGTTCCAGTTTAATCATCAAAGGGTAATAGAAACAGCTCATCCAGTGAAATTAAAGGAGATAGAAACTGTGTCTGTCATGCAAAATGAAGATGAGTGTTTTTGGCATTGTCCTGTTACCAAACATTCAGCACCTGAGCTAAGCAATTTCTTATCTGGTTCTTATGAGCTGTGGAAAGGGCATTTATATTACTGAATGGTGCCAAATGATCCCCAAGTACGTAAAAGAGAAACGAATTGATTAGTAAGGAGCATATGGTTATGTGGAATCGATAACGGGCGCAGGAGTTAAGCTGCAGGTTGAGAAGTGAAGGCAGGAAATGGCGGAGGAATCGACACGACGTGCGGGAGGAGGGATCCAGAGTGGAGACGTACGTGGTGCGAGAGGACGACGACGTTGGGGCCGTGGAGGCGGAGGCGTCGGGCGGCCTCGTTGTCGGTGAGGCCCGCCTCCTCCGCCGTGCCTAGCCGGCGCAGCACCTCCTCCTCCTCCCCCGTCTCCTGCACGCATTTGCAATTTTGCAACAAGAACAGGCATCACAATCACACATCGCGATGGCTGGACCAACGGCCCCGCGCAACCGAACCGGCGGAGGGCACTCACCAGGTCCGCCATGGCCATATCATCCGACGACGCCATGTGCGCGCCGCGCTAGTCCCGTCCGTCCCCGCTCCTCCTTCCGTTTCCGTCACAAGACACGACGGCGAGGCCGAGCAGACGGGCCAACCAACCAAGCAACTCGAGGTCCAATGACAACAATACACAAGTAAAAAATTCAGCCCATATCGGTGCCTGGGCTGGCCTAGTAGGGGAAGAATGGGCCCATATAGGCCCGGTCCACTGGAGGACGAGCCAGCAGGCCAGGAGGGAGTGGGAGACGATAGATAAGGACGACTCCCCTCTCCTCTCCACAGCAACTGAAAACCAAAGAACCGCTGGCGGACGCCCACCAACCAAAAAAACCACGCCTTTCCTCGCCGCCGGGGCTCTCTACTCTCGCCGCCGGGGCTCTCTACTGAGAAGCCGCAGCGCTGCTCCCTCGCCCACTACATCCGGGAGCGCGTGGCTCCATTCCATTCGCGCTCGCCCGCCAGCCCGCCCACCGGAGGTACGTCCCCAAACGGCCCACCTCTTCCTTCCTGCGTTTCCCGGGCGGCGGAGAGTCTGGGCTAGGGTTTTGCCCGGCCTCGCCGTCCCGGGTGGGCTCCCTGACGCGCAATCCGGGTAGGGTGTGCGCCCGCAGCCTCGACCTTTGATTAGGGTTTAACTTTAACCCCATTTCGCTGCAACGGGCTTGGGATTACCTGTGCGCACCTGCCTGCCTTTCTCCTGTTTCCGCCTGCGCTGGGCGTGAATGGTTGGAACAAGCCACGGCTGGAGGCTGTCTGGGTTCGGGTCCCTTGGTTTCTGGAACAGATAGGCTCCTTGCGGACCCATCTCTGGCTCAATTCTTTAGGCCATGTGATATTTTGTTGCTGGGTACCATTTCGGTGGTCACTGTTCATATTTCCGGATCATCTGTCACGATAGGGTGCAAAGACTGGTAATTATTAACTCACCAGGGTAAAATGATTATTTCTTTTGATGAGTCCAACAATGGCCTTCTGGTACATGTTTGTTATTCATGTGTGATGGATTGCCAATCGGCTCCATCAAGCTGAATGTGCTCACTGTGTGTCCTTCTGTACCTGGACTTTTAAGGTTGGCATCCTGTTCATGTACATCATGTGATTTTTCTGCGAACGAATAGTGTTTTTTCTCTCGCAACAAATCAGCGAACAGTACTTTCAGCCATGGTTTTTCCGCAAAGCGAACAGGGTAGTACTTGCAACTTCCCCTGTAGTTGAAATTGATTATTCTGTGTCTTCAGTTACCTCTTACATATTCTGCTCTCGTGTCAGATCTCCCCTTTTGTTTTTCTGACTGTTCATCCATCCCATGCTTTTTCGGAACATGTCATTCATGCTTTACTGTTGATCTGATATTCCTTTACTCATGCATCTCTACTGTAGGTTAACCGGGTAAAGAGATTACAATTGAACTGTTCCGTTGAAGCCAAAGTTTATTCCATCAGTCTAGATTACAAATAGGCGACACTTGTTGATTTGATGGCAAATGAGATAATTGTGGGATACCCTGATTTCTTCTACAGGATAAATTTTGATCGTTTCATTTGTTGGACATTGGATCAACTGGTGCTGTTACACATAGAAAGGAGTCATTGTAAATTCTCATCTATCTTTAGTGGTGCCATAATCATTATTTCGCTGGCGTTTGGCAATAATGTCGGAGAGCGAGTTAGCAGTAATAAAGCCAGAGGTGCAGTTCCCTGCGCCTTTCTCAGCTGCAACTTCCCCCCCTGTTAATTAGGAGACAGTTACTTTCCAATCTATGTGGTTATATTCAGCCTTTCTTGAGCTTATTGGTGGTGAACTATAACAGGCGTTGAAGGCTTATATTTGGCTTCAGTGCTTTGATGGTTCCATACAGCAAGTGGACGAGGAGGTTGCGATATTCTGCCCCATGATATGTCGGGAAATTGTGAAAAATGGCACAGGGTCGTCCAAAAATCATGCTATTACTCTCCCACAAAGAGTTAATCCAGCCAGTTTGAGTTTGATTCTTGACTACTGCCGGTTTCATCAGGTCACTGGGCGCTCAAACAAGGTATGCTACAATTTTAAATTTTCCTGTACATTTCACTTGTTGAGTCTACATATGGTTTCAGTCAAAAAAAAATCTTAGTTTTTTCCCCTTATATACACTATGCAGGAGCGGAAGTCCTTTGATGAAAAGTTTGTTAGGATAGAAACAGAAAGACTCTGCGAATTGACTTCTGCAGCTGATAGTCTACAGTTAAAGCCACTTGTTGATCTTACTAGTCGAGCTCTTGCTCGAATTATTGAAGGAAAGACACCTGAGGAAATTCGTGACATTTTCCATTTACCAGATGACTTAACAGAGGTTAGAGTGCATTCTATAGTTTTAGATATGGAATTATTAAATACTTATTGTCAAAACTTACATGCCCTCAGGAAGAGAAATTGGAGCCCCTAAAAAATATAAATGATGATCCTAGGATTCGCCTATTGAACCGATTGTATGCGAAGAAGCGGAAAGAGCTCCAGGAGCGCCACGAGCGCCAGAAGCTGAAGGTAACTATGATGGATTATACATGTTGTGTTCATCAACATTTTTCGATTTAACTCAGTGGTGTTCATGTTTTATGTTAAAATCTGAAGTTCACTGTATTTCAGGATGTTCAAGTACAAAAAGAGCAAAAAGATGAGAGATCTTTGGATGAGTTACTTTGTTTTATTAATGGGGATGGAGGTATAACTACAGTGAGTTATATTGACTATATGACTTTTGTTATTCTGTTCACTGTTTGTATCTGAAACTCTTTAGATGACTTATATCTAACCTTTTACTGAGGCCAGATTTTGGTCAATTTTACTTAGATTCTGTTCTTTTGTAATATTGACTATCTGTTACCTTGGTTGTTGGTTGATTTTCATCATTGTTTCACGTTGAACCAAAGTCAAAGGCTGCAACATTTGTTTAATTAGTGTTTTGTTTGTTTAAATAAAAATATTCTTAGCCTCCATATAACCATTTGACAGGTTCAGGAGGTGGGAAAGCTACCAAGAGTAAGAAAAAGAATAAAAGAAGGAAGGATCATGCTAAGAACCCCCCAAAAGCTGACTCTGAGCCTGCAAATGCGGTTAGATTTCCCAACTATTTCCGATACTGTGTATTCCGTATAGAATATGTATTTCTTACATGATCTATCTGGGGAGTTTAGGAGGGAGCTGCTTGTGTGGTTCCATGCAAAGTGGATAGCAGTAATGTTTCTAGACTTCCATGCCAGAATCCAGATATACAAGATGATGTCGAGTACCCCTTTGAAGATGCTGACCTCGATGATGGACTTGATCCTGCAATGAAAGAAGAGCTTGATAGGTGAGAATATGAGATATGTCATTGTTGTATGCATGTAGACTCTTAGCTTGTTTTTCTTTTGATGTATCAACTTGTTTTTTTTTCTTCGGAAGTGATCTTTTTAGTTAGCTTTATTTTGTGCCTACTAGTCTGTTTCTTAATTCACAAAACATGTAGTTGTCCGTGAAATGATAGTTCATAGAGGTTTCTAATGCTGAGATGTGAAGAACATAAGTTGAGTTCAGAATTGTTGCTTAATATCGTGTCAAGTACCACAATCCATGAAACTCAGTTTGAATTTTACTTGGATTGTGGCATGTGCCCATTATCTACTCTAGGCATAGTGCGGTAGTGCTGTGGCCTGAAATAACGACAAGGTTTGTTTTTAACATGCAGAGAAGTTGAGGACTTCGCAAGGAGGTTGAATTCAGTTTGGAATGATTCACATATTGGTGGTAATGGTTCTGTGCAGAGGTTTCCTGGTATGTTTTCCCATATATAATATCCTTGATGAGGATTCTGGTACTATAGTAATGATTAGTGAAAAATTCATAGGGGGAGTTTGGGGAGGGTGATTTATCAGAGAAAATGCAGGCCTTGTATCAAAATTTTAACTAGTAGCAAAATGTTCTTTGATTTGCATGTGTCCTGTTATTACGAACTAGCATATAGTGGCACATGTACAGGGCTTAGCATTTAGAACTGCTAGTATTAACTCAAATTGTTTCCTTCAGGGCTGTGTCTTGTGTTTCACTCAAATAGTCTATTGATTGTTTTAAGATGTATCCTGTATTCCTGTAGTGAGTACCCTGTTTCTTTCACCTAGTTTTTTTATTTATTAATTAGTACAAGAAGGCTCTCTTACCAAATTTATTTGTTGGTGGAATGGAATCACCGCACTCTAGGCTTAATGACTTAACTTATTAAAGTGGAAGGTGAACTTGGTGACGTTGTTTTCTATGTTCCTACTAATCTGACATATTGGCCTCTTCTCTGAGCGATGTCGGTATCATCATTGTGTAACATGATTGGGAGGGTACTTTAAAAGAATATACAAAGGAGCTTAGATGGAATCACCGCACTCTAGGCTTAATGACTTGACTTATTATTAAAGTGGAATGTGAACTTGGTGACCTTTTTTTCTGTGTTCCTACTAATCTGACATAATTTTCTCTGGCCTATCAATCAGTGTGTACATGATTGGGATGGTACTTTAAAAGAATATACAAATGAGCTTAGGCATTGTGTTTCATCCAGCTGTGAATGGTCCAAACTATCTTTTGAGGGAAATCCATTGACATATTTAATCTTGTTTGGCTATTTGCAGGGTTTAATCACAGGTGAGTGTTAAGCTGGCAGGATCAGAAGGCAGAAGCAAGGGATATTTGTGGACATACAGCTTGGAAGAGAGTAAAGACCAAACATGCCACTTGGCTCCTGTGTCGGAACACCTTGGTAACTCGGAACCAAGCATGCTGACATGCGCAACTTCCCTTGGCCATTTTCTGGGGAAGGAGGCCGCCTAGTTGGGATGAAGCATAAAATGGTCAGGACTCAAGGAAAAAGAAGTGTTTTTTCTTTGGGAAGGGAGGATTAGAGGTCTGTCTTGACTCATTTTTTCCCCTTTTCTGCTATGTTGCCAATTTTCCTGAATAGGGGGAGAGGGAGTGGTGTTGGCTGTTGGAGTGTTACAGATATCCATGAAATTCCGTTGATCCACTCTATTGTGGTGCACATAAAAAATGTGGCGTTGTTTGGCTGGTTTGCTGACCTTACCTGGGTTGGAAACTTGGAATGTACCATACCTTATTATTACTGCGTTGGGAGCCTGGGACTCGTGTGAAAGGAGGCTTCTGACAGCTTCTTGCCTTCTTTCCCGTCTATGAATAACGACCAAAGGTGAGAACAAGGAAGAGAATGAAATAAGGATATATAAGAGCTTTCAATTCCTTTCTGTCTGTCTTTGTTCTACTTGCATGACAAGGGGGATTTTTTTTTAATTTTAAATCCTTTTTAAATATTTTTTAAAAAATAACCTCACTGAAAAAACTTATTTTAAAAATTAACTTATTTGGCTGCCCCAATCTCCCTGTTGTGGCCAAACTGTCCTGCCGTGGCAAACTGGCTGGCGTTGCGGAGTGGCCAGCTTGTCGTCGCACCACCAAGTCGGCCGCGCCACCCCGTGTCCCCGTCTGGCGCGGCGAGGCAGGGTGATTTGGGACTTGTTCGAGGTAGGCAAGGTATTCTCCCTCTCCTTTCCTTTTTTTTCCATGGTTGATTTGAAGTATAGTCTCGCTAGCTAGGGTTTGAAGAAAATTTTGATTTTGGGTGGCTATGCAAAGTAGTTTAGGGTAGATCAATTACGTTCAGAAACTTGTGTCAAGGGTTTGCCCTCGATTTGTACGTGTACATCTCCCTATGTTTATGTTATCATGTATGTTAGAAATTTTAGTAAGTATTTTTAGTTTCAGGTTACATTTAGTTAGTTTAGGAAAGTGGTTCAACTCCACACATGTCTGACAAATAAGGGGAAGACAAAACTCTGCACATCACGTTACTTGCTCGTCGCATATTAAGCCTCGTGGATGCAAATAGCTATATTTTGGTGTCTGTATTGATTCGTGGTCCATATATTTGGTAATTTGGGAACCCATACGCGTACAAATGAGCAGATATATCGTAGTGCGGGTCAACTACTTGTTTTAAAGGGCTATGTATCCCCAGTAGTTAGGCTTTGTTTAGTTTATCCCTCTAAAATTTACTCTCTATCATATTGAATGTTTGGACAAAATATTAAATATAGATAAAAATAACTAATTGCACAGTTTGTGACTAATTTACGAGACGAATCTTTTAAATCTAATTAGTTTATGATTTGACAATGTGGTGCTACAGTACACATGTGCTAATGATTGATTAATTAGGCTTAATAAATTCGTCTCGCGGATTACTGACGGATTCTATAATTTGTTTTTTTATTAGTAGCCGAATACCCCATATGATACCCGATATGACATCATAAAACTTTACACCCTGAATTTAAATAAGGCCATAGTTTTCATTACACTTGCTTTAACTGTTGTATATCTATGTTCTTGATATTGCAATGCATTTTATTTATTATAACATTTTTCTAACTATTTCTGTCTTTGTGAACCAGGATGGCGCAACATCCAATGTATCCCATGCTTGAGTGGTTCTACGAGGACAAGCACTGAGCTCGCCTATTGACGGACGTTGACCCGCTGCCACCCTAGGCCCCTTGAGGCCATGGGCCCGCATGTCACACCTCTGGGACGAGCGGGATGCACCATACATATATACGGCATGCTCGCTTCCATGAGCTTTGCTCGCATAGTCAACTCCGAGCTACATGACCTAGACGGTCCACTGCTCATGGCTACCGTGGACCGACGGAGGTCGGAGACCCACACCTTCCACCTTCCCTGCGGCGAAATGGTCAAGATGTTGCCCTACTTTTTGGGCTGCCGTTGGAGGGTCTATTGGTCAGTGGGATCCTTGACAATGAGATGTGGAGGGACCTGGCTGAGCATTTCTGCCGGATTAGGCTGTCGAGGCCCGCGCCAGGCGGTGCCACGCTGGTTATGCTGCGGAATTACGCGATTTTCTTTGACGAATATGTCTCCTCTTGACGGTTTTATGAAAAAACCCTGCTAAAAACACAGATTCTCCAAAACTCATGAAATTTATTAGTTTAAACCCGTATACCTATGTATGGTGATGGAATTAAATATAAATATAGGTTATGTCGACGGTTTATAATTAATGTTAGCGACTGTCAGACCGAAATCATCCTCGTTGACAGGGGGCTCAAGCTTGACGATCGCCATATCTTCATTGGCGAGGGAGTAGCAACCAGTGAGGAAGACTTCATGCCGCAGAGGTGTGTGCATTGGGGGGTCCTCCAGGGTGAAACCCTCCGGCACATGAGGGGTGCACCTCCAGGAAGAGGTTTCTACTGAAACCCTCCTAGGAGTGAATGCACATGAGGACGATGGCAGCGGGTGTGATGCCCGCGGATGGATCGACTTATGGCGAAATCTCTTGTTTGCCATCGCCCGCCCTGCACCCATCCGAGGAAGAGCCCATTTGCCCGTGTGCCCAAAGTTGTTTAAACCATGTGCATTACAAGAGATATGAAGATACATATTCACAACAAATCGTAGGAGGTCCCACATGTTAGACAGGGAGGTGATAAGAGGGGGTATAGTTTCTTTGCCCGCCAAGAACTATCCTCTAGGTTCGAGGATGGTGCTCTTCAGGTGAGAAGTGGTGCCTATACCTTGCCCATCGGGTTCCTTTGATTTGGGCCCATCTTTAGGATGACGGGCCTTAGATAGGCCTTAGATAGGCAACTAGCTGATTTGTGGCCATAATTCGCTGCGACATCTCACCATATTTTTGCATTCTTTCCCCAAATGACCTGAGCGGCGGCACCTGGAATAGATGGGTTGGGCCTTAGTGAGCTCCTTTCCTTTGCTTACCGGCCCACCTGCTTCATGTCCAGCCAGTTGAGATTTTGAATTCAAAAAAGGTTGAGGAAACCGCCATAGATTTCACCATTGAATTAATAGGCGTAAATTTGGGTTCCCAGCGAAGAACACGCTTGCCAGGTTGCCTAGGCGGTCGGAGGTAAGCATCAGGATCTGAACGAGGATGATTAATAAAATTTTCCTGATAATTATTAGGAAAATTGAGACGGAGAAAAACAGGTTTTTTCCTTTGAGGGATAGTGCTTGAGCATAGCTCAAGACAGGTTTAGAGCCTGAGCGAGCGGCTTGAGGTGGACAAGATTTGGATTTGGATTTAGAACCAACAGTGGTCCATTCTGCTTCTTTTCCAGTCAACCAAAGATTATAGTCGTTTTGCCAATTAGGACCACCCTTACTCCACAAAAAGATGTAGGCCGCAAAGATTTTGCAAATGAAATTCTTAGATTTGTAAATCATGAGTCCAACAAATTTGCAAGACACACTGAACTGATACATCCATCCAGAGAGATGGATAACACGAAAATCTGATGCTGAACCTCCTAAACATGATTGGAGGATGAGCCCAACAGATTCCTCATTGAGTCTTCACAGCAGAGCGCCCAAAACTCACCACCAGGAAAAAAAATCTAGCGAGCTGGGGGCAGATTGGGGACTCACCGAACAATTGAAGCGTTGAGAGACAACTTGTGCGAAATCAACCCCCGGATCGAAGCACAGATCCGAGAGCCCAGCAATGGTCTTGGGGATCGATCACTAGAGGTCGCCATCACTTAGCGTTGCCATTGTAGCACAGTTGTGGATCATTACTCGCAGAATATACAGCTGGATATTTCTTCTAGCGGCCTCCCTCACACAGTCAGCCTCCCTCAAGCCGCTTTCGTGCAATCCCTTCTATAGTCGCGACATTAATAGGGTTGATCGGCTGCAGCCAACACCCCTACTCACGCCGTTCGCCAGGTGTGGAGCTTGAGCAAATCCAAAGTGGTGTGCTTGACTTTTGAATGCAAAGATGTATGATAGGAGGATGCAAATATGATTAAAAAAGTTAGTTATTTCTACTATTTTTTTTAATCTTCGTGTGACTTTTAGGTCGCACCCACAATCATGAATATAGCTCTGCCCCTACCGCCCGCTGCTGGCATGCAAAGGAAAGAAACAATCTATTGATAAGCAAGAGAGCGCGGATGGATTGATAAAGACACAAGGGTAGATATATATTAATATTTTTTTCTCAAAGAAAATACTAATATTCTGAAGGAAAATACTCGTATTTTTTAGTGGTAAAATCATGGTTACCTCAGTAATGAACTCATATTACTAACTGACATCAAATAGTGAAATGTTAGAGAGGGATAAGTGTACCATTAACATTTATATATACTAGTAAAATTGCTCGTGCGTTGCAACGGGATTAGTAAAAACATATAATAATTTTTATTTAACTGAAGATTTAGTTGTAAAAGAAATGATTGTTTATATCAAAACATTGAATTTTGTTTAGTGTGTGAACACCCCAAGGCATGTGTGGTTCGTCTCCTCCACCTTGTAGACCTCCTCAAACACTGCTACTATTCCTCTAGCTCGCTCATGCAGGGCATGACATCCTTCCTCCATACTTTCAGAATGTGTACTTCCACTGTGCAACAACGTTGTTGCTTTTAGCGTAATGCGTGATGCAGGACAGGGTGTGTGCGTGGTCGGAATGCCAGCACCACGCCTAGTGCACCGGTGACGAGCAGGTTCCCGATAGAGCCTCATCGTGGGCGCTGGCCCTAACGGGATCTTCACATGTAGCAGGACCACTGAGCTTGCAGAGATTAGAGCCCCAGT